AATTTAACGTTTATTTATTTTTGAGAGACAGAGACAGAGCATGAGTGGGGGAGGAGCAGAGAGAGAGGGAAACACAGAATCTGAAGCAGGCTCAAGGCTCTGAACTATCAGCACAGAGCCCGACATGGGGCTTAAACTCCTGAACTGTAAAATCATGACGTAAGCCCAAGTTGGAAGCTTAACTGACAGAACCAACTAGGTGCCCCTTAAGATTTTATTTTTAAGTAATCTCTACACTTAACAGGGGGCTCAAACTCACAACCCCAAAATCACGAGTGTCACATATACTACCAACTGAGCCAGCCAGGTATCCCAGAGGTTTTCTCTTAAAATCCCATTTTCTACCACCTCTCTTAAAATGGCATTTATCCCTAATAAAGATAACTTATCTGTTCTTTTCTGATTGTCACACTAGATAGGATTGATAAGTAAACAAAGTTTTTAAATTGTAGGCACAGAGCTTGGCCATGCTCAGACTACTGGTCAGTCTGTAGTGTTTACCTGACTTAGTCCTGTGGGAGTGCTAGAATAACCAAAGAACCAGCAGATTGCCTTTACTTTGTCTTTAAGAGGAATTTTCTTCTTTGCACCATTCTGTGCCCTTAACTTTTGAACAGGCAACAAATTAGAGAAATGGTATAAAACTGTGTTTCCCTTTCTCCAAAGGATGATAATAGGCATACTACAAAGAAGATTCCACTTTCAAAGAAGTTTGGAAAATATTTTAACAGATCACTTTACTGAGGACATCAGGGCAATTCCTATTAATACCTGAGTATAGATTACCAGATTGGAAAGTATCACTTTAAAGTAATGGCTTTCTCATTAACCTAGCTGCTTCTCTACCATCCCATGAAAGTAGTACAAATTTCTGCAGGAAAACCAATATTTTCTCAACATTATCATAAGAGTTTTAGTTTAAAAATTTGATGTAAAACTCAGTAAGACCTTATGCCAAATTAGATGTCACCTAGCATTCTGGTATGAGTAGGAACAGATACCAGATAATTAAAAATAGAGAATAACCATACACATTTTGTTAATTTTTTCTACAAATTGTGAAGGTAAAATGTTTCATAGATTTACTTCACCCGTTTTGCACATTCTCCTGGAGAACGGGCTTCATTACCATCTAGTTTTAACAGTGTACTAAGTATACAAACATCTTGGAAATTTGGGCATGGATATATAATGGTGTGTGATGGTGGGTATTTATTTCAGAAGCACTATATCACATGGTCAACGGGAAAAGTGACTCATTTGATAAAACAGTTTACCAAAGAGGTTAATTAGCTTGTAACTTGTAATTGATTCTTAGAGGATTTCTTTTTTTAATTTAATTTTAATTTTATTTATTTAAGTAATCTCTACACCCAGTGTGGTGCTAGAACTTAAAATCTTGAGATCAAGAGTTACACATTCCATTGACTGTGCCAGCCAGGTGCCCTTCTTAAAGGACTTTGTTAGATTGTCCTACTAATTTATAATGTTTAGGAATTTTCTTTGCCTGTTCCCATCCTGAACCAGAATTGCTAGACAGATAAAAGTCCTTTAGCCTGACTTCCTAAGGCCTAATTGCCATATTCATGTTCTCATAATAGCTTGTTAAGAGACAATATTTTGCTTGTGTTAAAAATGCTTAATGAAAGATGGCAGAGGTAGGCACATTATACCCAGTTTGTGAATTGTTTGTGCCCCCATAAGCCCATTAAAAAAAAAAAAATTTTTTTTTTAACGTTTATTTATTATTGAAAGACAGAGTTAGAGCATGAGCAGGGGAGGGGCAGAGGGAGAGGGAGACACAGAATCTAAAGCAGGCTCCAGGCTCTGAGCTGTCAGCACAGAGCCTGACGTGGGGCTTGAACTCAAAAACCACGAGGTCATGACCTGAGCCAGGTCGGACACTTAACCGACTGAGCCACCCAGGCGCCCCTATAAGCCCATTTTTAATCGCTTGATATTCTGAGCTTCATGTGGTGAATAGAGCTATTTATTAGCAGACTGTCCTTCTACTAGGCATTTGACTTGTGAGTGTATGCCAGTATGGTAAAATACAGTGTCAGTATGGTTGCAAATTTTAACATTATACTGGAGTAGAATAATTGGTTGTGGTAGTGCTCACTCATTTCTGTATGTGCTAGAGCTGGCTGGAGTCTGTGGCATGCTCATTGGTGAGAGTTGGTAAGGACTATGCTTTTCTCTCTACAGCTCTGTTGTGGGAAAGCTAGTCTCTTGAGCATTCTTGATCTGAATGGACTGGGGTAATTTAACTTTTCATACTTTGTCAGCTTGTTAGTATTCTCTAACAAGTGGCCTAAAGACCCCAGGAACACTGGCTGAGGTCTCCATTTGCTTCTGGCTGAGTAGATGGGAACTTCTAGTAACCAAAAGGCTACAATAGCTAATATGTCTTGATCTGAGAGATCAGGAATGATTTTTAGAAGAGAAACATTTCAGCCTTCTGATCACTGAAGGTATAAACCATAGACGCCATAAGATTATACAATCTAAATCTAGATTACACATGAATTAGACTGTAATCACTGGCTTTATATTTCTATCCAGTTCAAATATTAACTGACTTAGCATCTGGCCTGTTCTACCTCAGAATATAGGTTATTCAACCGACATTTATTGGAACTTCTGACTAGTTAAAAGATATCCTTAGTATTCTCAATACTGAGTAATTTTTGCTTGCAGAAACTGAAGGCTCAGAAGAGGAGGATAAAGAAAATGACAAGGCTGAAGAAACACCAAATGAATCCATTCTTGAAAACAAGGTAAATTATTTGTTCAGTATCAATTTCTGCTTTCTTTTTGTAGGACTGTAGCTTACTAGGGTATGCCTGATTATTATCATAGCTTTTTCTTAGTTATACATTTAGATTTGTAATCTAAAGATGCCTGTCTTGTACTGCTGCCTAATACCAATGATTTGGATATACTTTTTAGTCTCTTCAAGAAAGTGAAGAGGAAGAGATTGGGAATCTAGAGCTTGCCTGGGATATGCTGGATTTAGCAAAGATTATTTTTAAAAGGTAAAACTTTTGGTGTGTCTAGGCTCAGGTTGGGAGTTCGGAGGTTGAATGAAAATAGAATACCAGTTAGGCTTGGGCAAATGCTGTTAAGGTTTCTGATCATCTTTTCCTTCTTTTAGGCAAGAAACAAAAGAAGCTCAGCTTTATGCTGCGCAGGCACATCTTAAACTTGGAGAAGTTAGTGTTGAATCTGGTAATACATTTTTCATTTTACTCTCTCCTTTAATGTCCCCCCGCCCCCATTCTTCCTCTGATTCCTTAAAATTCAGCTTGATTGATCATAAGTTGTGGGCAGTTGGCTTTAAAGGACAGTTAGTTTGGGTTCCTGTAGCTCCTAGAGCTGTGTGAATAATCTCCCCTAACTGAAGTCTTTCAGTAGTTTTTTTTGTTTGTTTTGTTTTTTGTTATTTTGATATTGTTTATAGTCAAGGATCCTAGAGATGCTACAAAGAAAATGAAATGTAAAATAGAGCATTCCTGTAGGATAGTCTAAAATTTAGAAATATTGGGGCACCTGGGTGGCTCAGTCGGTTGGGCGTCCAACTTCGGCTCAGGTCATGATCTCGCAGTCCGTGAGTTCGAGCCCTGCGTTGGGCTCTGGGCTGATGGCTCAGAGCCTGGAGCCTTCTTCCAATTCTGTGTCTCCCTCTCTCTCTGCCCCTCCCCCGTTCAAGCTCTGTCTCTCTCTGTCTCGAAAATAAATAAAACGTTTTAAAAAATAAATAAAAAATAAAATAAAATTTAGAAATATTAAATAAAAAAAAATAAAATTTAGAAATATTAAATGCTATCCATTTGCTTGCTTTTCTTTTTCTCTTTATTAGAGAATTATGTCCAAGCTGTGGAGGAGTTCCAGGCCTGCCTAAACCTTCAAGAACAGTACCTGGAAGCCCATGACCGTCTCCTTGCAGAGACCCACTACCAGCTGGGCTTGGCCTATGGGTACAACTCTCAGTATGATGAGGCAGTGGCACAGTTCAGCAAATCCATTGAAGTAATTGAGAAGAGAATGGGTGAGTGAGCATCAGCTATTTGATGCTAAGCTTGGTGGATCCAGTAATTGACAAGATTTTTAAAAAATGGATCCCCTTGTGGTTAACTATTAGTGATCACTTTAGCCTGTTTTTTGTAGCTGTACTAAGTGAGCAGATGAAGGAGGCTGATGGATCATCTTCTGAATATGAAAAAGAAATTGAGGAGCTGAAGGAACTGCTACCTGAAATTAGAGAGAAGATAGAAGATGC